TAGTAGTACCTTGACAATGCCAGCTTCATTGGAAAGCTGGGTCAGGTTCAGTTCATACCTATTGCCCATGTAAGGTCACTGAGAGCAAATGGCAGACATGGTGAGTTCAGTGAGTTTCTTACTGCCAGTCTGCAATTACATTGATGAATTGGCACTGCTAGTCCTATGTTTCACTGACCAGTGGGCTCAAACAACACCTCAGGTGGTACATTTTCATGACAAATAGGAGAAAACTTTACCACTGGGTGCAGGCATGACATTTTTAAAACAATATTTGTGTTTAACAACCATGGAGGAATTTGTGGTGGGATGCTGGTTGATGTCATATGCAGGGATGCATGCATACATGCAATGTGTGCAGCAGATGGAGGTATCCATATTCAGCACCCATGCTGGACAAATCTGGATCCTGTCCAGGCATGATCCTGGGCCTGTCTCGACTCCTCGGGCCCGGTGGACAGAGGGCTGCTCCGGGGACTCAGACCGAGGTCAGCGGCGGGCCTGTCCCGACTCCTCGGGCCCGGTGGACAGAGCACCCTGACTGGGGCCCTGTCCAGGGGATACATCACTGGCCTGAAAGGCCCATGCAAAGGCAGACCACATCCGCCAAACCACTGCCGCGGGCGCTGCCTGAAGCGACGTTGGTACCACGACCAGGCGATCACTTCCCAGTTCATGTGATTCCCAGTGTGGAAGTCAGCTAAGGACGTCCCTACTGATTTGCGGGCCTGAGCCAAAGGGCCAAGAGACCCATCAAAATTCAGCGAAAAAATTCCAAAATTCTGGGGTTGTGGGGAGGGGGAGGGGAACGGCCAATTGTATGGTAAACAGGCACTCAAAAAATTGTTCTGAACAACTGTGATTGGGATTCAGGATGAACGATGTGATGGGATTCAGAACTTCAGGGTCAGTGGCTATGCTTGATTTTGTCATGAACAACCAAGATTAAGTGCTGTTGTGGAAAAATTGAGAAACTGGCTCCTAGACTGCTGTGGGACCAAACCCATGACCACCTGCGTCCTCAAAGACTGGAGGGAAAGTGATGGGGGGCATCGAATCTATTTGCATAGCAAGGTGGTTTTCACAGCGTTGTGAACAATTGTCTCTTTTGAAACCAGCTAGAAACATGTCACCTGCGCGGACAAAATTCGTCTGCATCAGGGCCGATGTTATGTTGACTACGATATGGTCCACCTTTTTCAGGTCACACATGTCATGCATCATAGCCTGAAATTGGGAAGACTGCCTGCAAAAGACAGGAGATCTGTTATGCAGGCATGCCATCTCCCTATCTCAGGCCAGCTGTTCGTAGATGCTCGCAGAGCAGCGGCTCCACCCACTTCGGCTACACAACAGTCAAGGAGGATGAAAAAGCTGGCAAAGGTGCTGATGCTTTTTTCAGTGAGGTCTGATATGCTTACCGCAACCTCCTCCGGTTGTTTGATACAAAGCTGTCCACATTTCAACTCGCGACATGCAGAGGGAATTAAGATGTCATTTGTTTTTCGGATCGTGCCAGCTCACATCGTGTTCCAGCATTGATTTCTGAAATGCGCCAGCGTGCTTGGACAGTGTTTTGACCCAGCCGCCCGTGCCGCCCAGTCCACGAGGTATTCCTCCAGCGTGGCCGGCAAGTACGACCTGATGAACGACGCCATGAGTCTGGGCGCCCACCGGCTGTGGAAAGACGCCCTGGTGAGCCGGCTGCGGCCGTCCGCCCCGCACCCGGCTGCTGGACGTGGCCGGCGGCACAGGTCAGTCCGCGCGCCGCCGTCACCGAACGGTACGCCCCCCCCCCGCGGCACAGGTCAGCCCGCGCGCCGCCGTCACCGAACGGCACGCCCCCCCCCCCCCGCGGCACAGGTCAGCCCGTTGCGCCGCCGTCACCGAACGGTACGGCCCCCCCCCCTCGGCACAGGTCAGCCCGCGCGCCGCCGTCACCGAACGGCACGCCCCCCCCCCCCCCCGCGGCACAGGTCAGCCCGCGCGCCGCCGTCACCGAACGGCACGCCCCCCCCCCCCCGCGGCACAGGTCAGCCCGTGCGCAGCCGTCACCGAACGGCACGCCCTCCCCGCCCCCCCGCACCTCCTTGCGGCACCGTCTGACGTCAGCGAGAGCTGGCTTTTGTGAAGACATGTAATGGAACTGGCTCGTATGGTCGAGTTGAGCTTGTTGATGCATATTAATGCTGAGCAATAGGCCGGGTTTTGCTATAGGTTTTTTTGCGGGATCCTCAATCGAATAGCAAAATTTTCGGACGCTATATTATTGCAAACCCACGAATGTCTTGGTATTTTTATTTTAAGTACAAAGGTGGTCGTCATCTGCTTTTTGATGAGTCGTTTTCAACATTTTGGTTAGAAAAAGACATTTCAGTATGACGAAATTGTATAGTTGTAATGTATCATTTTCAGGCTTACAATATGCTGTTTGGTCACGTAAATATAGCGACGTTATCGTGGACCAGTAAGTTATTTCTCGGTGCTTGCGGAAGAATTTACTGACAACCGTTCCGGGCACTATGTATTTGGTACAAGGGAAACCTATGCTTTAAGTGTGGTTTGCTGGCTGCTGGGGCCCGCAGACCGGTTCACGTGCTTAAATGGAGCACAAAGAGGCTAATTTCATGAACAATGTGATAGAGAAATGGTTGGGGAGCATCGGTACTTCTCAAATCGTACGGCAATTGGCGCGATCTATCTCACCAAGAAATGTTACGTATCGAATTACAACGTCTGATAGTTTTCAAGTTACCGAAAAACCTAAACTGGATGTGAAAAGGGATGCCTTCTGAGCTGCGAGGGATATGCAGCACGTTCTGGGAAAATTGATCTAGTATTTTGTTTTAACGCATAATAGTTTAAATCAGTAATTTTGCGTACACATGAATCAACAATGGATTGTTTCAGCAAGCCAGTGTAGCCGGCGTGACGTGTTCCTGTCTGTTCCAGCTGACCCTTTTCTAAAAACGGCAGTCTTCACCCGTTCTTCTGAAGCAGCATAGATCTAAAATGACCAGTGCTGGCCGAATGGTCTCTTATCCCAATCAAACCGGAAAGTGATATGGGTGAAAAAGAATGGGGTGCCAAACGTGAGTGCATGAGCAGTCGAAATGGACACTCACACATGCCGGGGTTTGGGATAAAACCATGGAATTCCGGCCAGACAACCACGGAAATGTCATAAGGACGAACGGTAACGGTTGTGTTGATGGCGGAATGCCTCCAAGCGGCAATGCACGAATCAAAAACAAAGTCCTGCTCTGACTAAAACGCGTGCACGGTTCTGTGCCCATAGCGTGCGTCTCGTCCCACCACTGCAGACGCCGCCTGCGTGACGAACTGCGCTCAGTCTGTGTGTGCGCTGGCTCTGGGGGTAACGTGCGGCCCGCAGTCCGCAGCTCTGTGACGCCTAGTGACCCAGTGAGGGGCTGCCCGGTTATCGATTGTTTTGACGAACTGATAAGTTCTGTGCAGGTAATGACGTCAGTGTTGATGTCTGGCAGCTAGTAAAGCGGCGTCTCTTCACATTCGTGATCTCGGGATCGTGCAGTCTAAGCCACGGATTCTTGACGGATCTCCTCGACGGAGCCAGCGAGCATGGGCAGAATCTTGGCTTCCAGTTGAGCCCAGTAGCCATTCCGCCAGATAATCGGTCGGACTAAGCGTTGGAGCGGTGGAACCAAACCTAGTGAGTAGTTGGACGCTACGAAATAAGTTCTGGAAGCTGCTTCTACGTGTTTCTTTCTTACGTTTTACGTGTAGAATGACTGGAGTCATTCTGCTCGCCATGTCACCCACATGGGTGAAGCATGACCTCGAACCGAACAGACATTTAGTGGCCCATAATGCGTGTTACGAGGGCCTGTTTTGTTTGAGATGAAGCGTGACCCGTCTTTCAAGAACGGCTCCAAAAACGTATTCCGCATCGTCCAAGTTGTCATTGACTCGGCTCCGTCGGTCTAATGCGTGGTCAGACCAGCTGTATCAACGGAATGACTACTGAGGTCACTACGAAGTCATGCTAGACATGCTCGCTAATGCTGTCGAGGAGATCCGTCAAACCCTGACTAGGATCGCTTGAATCGCTTAGATCAGGAATAAGACGAGGCGCTTTCCCCCCCCCCTCTCTCTCTTCTCTTCTTCTCTCTCTCTCGCTCATCGCTCTCTCCTCTCTCTCTCTCTCACTCTCTCTCTCTCCCTCTCTCTCTCTCCTCCTCTCTCTCTCTCTCTCTCTCTCTCTCTCTCTCTCTCGCTC